TCCTGCTTGTTATTCCACTTTGTTTTATTTTTCACTCAAGGTCAGGAATTAATTGCTCAAGGCTGAAGCCGCCTGCAGCTTTGGCACTTAAAGCACCAACAAAACTCTGAGTTCAGGCTCCTGAGAAACATTACCACAAAATTCTCAGTGCCCCTCTCATAAGAACTTCCTGTAAATGCATTCATATTTATTCCTAACAAGTGAATCAAGGTTACAGACATTTATTTCTTAACTCAATGTTTATATTAGCTAGTTTGGATCAGATTTATTTTCTAATCAACGGAAACATAATATCCAGGAAAAAGGAAAAATTCTACTTATCACCTAGAAAGTAAAGCCCATTTTCTAGTTTTCCCTAAGAAAAAAAGGTTTTTTGCGCTCAATGACAAAGAAATAAGAATTTAGTCATTTCCATAAAAAAATAAAATGAAATACATGTCATTATTTGGTTTAGGTCAACAAGCAGCAGACATTAAATGATTATGCATATAATATTCAGTAGCTGAAAAAGATTACCTGGTTTAATTATAGCATCGTCAGTTACATTAAATGTTGTAACTTTCTGTTTCCGTGGTACTCCGGCTTCTTTAAACATTTCCATTGCAGACTCTGATTTCTGTAACAAAGAGCAGCCATAAAATAGAAGTGATGTTAAAATACCCAAGGATCAACCTAGCACAGAAATTGATTACAGATTGTCAAAACCACTTAGAAAACCAGATATATCATAGTACACTTTTATCTTGAGACTAGCATTTTAACACTTAATTAATTTATAACTGTTGTGTCTGCATTTTATTTTCTGTCAACTAGTTACCCTACAGTTATATCACACAAACAAGAGATATATTAAGATTTCCAAGATCAGAAAAGGGAAACCAATCATTTAGAATGTACAAAAAATATATATTACTGCTTTTTCATGACCTTAAAAGAGTTTTATAGTAATTTAAAAGCATTTCCTCTTTTTCAAAGCTTCTAATGACTCAGTTCCACACAACCATAAATATAATTTATTTAACTAACAAAGCCATGGAAATAAAGCCTGATTTTGCAGAAACCTCTAGAAATGTTTAACTTCCCACAGAAGAGAATCTAGAGTCTCTGGGCAGAAAAGAAAAAGGAAGAACAACAAGCTTATGATTCATGTGTTTTTTAAGATATACCACGTACACTCAGTGTCAAACCACTGCTGACTTACTACAGAAAGGTTCTCCCTTTTAGAGGAGTCTGGCAAAGTTAAAAGTTAAAATTGTCTCAGCTGTTTTAAACAAGACAACTCACAGAACAGCTGACCACTGAGATGATACCAAGCAATGGAAACAGTGATGCAGGAATACTGTGGCCATAGGAAAAAAAGCAATGCAGCTGAATTTTCTTCACATTAATTCTCCTAGAAAGCAATTTAAGCATCTGACAATACTGTCACATTTGGATAGTCACATCTCTGGGCTTCACATCTCAAACATTCTGTGCAGTTTTCTCTCTCAAAAATAATTTTGCATATTTCAAGACAAAATAATGTGAATAACTTTAAAATCATTACTTAGTTTATTTGACAATCTGCACGTTGCCCTTCCTTTTGTTTTCAAAAATCTGTTAAAAAAGTGTTAGGATAACAGAGGAAGTTTTGTGAATAATGAGGGAGCAAGATGATGAGGAACTCTGACTTAGACACAAACCAGAAATTTCAACTTTATGAATCTGTCCTTACATGAGGAGAAAGTGTGGATACAAAGTCTTTGAGAGTTGAAAGGTTTTTCTGAGTGATCTGTTAACTTGAGTTCATAGTACAATACACTTCAAATACCTTTTTTAAAAAATAAAAGTAATCAATTAAATACAGTATCTCCCCTAAGACCACAAAAATTTGAGGCATCACTGGAAGACAACTGTATTAAACTGTAGTACCATATGCAAGAACTAAAAATAAAGAATCTCCTTTCTATTAAATGCCTGCACATCAATCCTTTATTTCCACTGTTATGTAAAACTGCTGCCCTAGATGACAGCAAGGGGAGCTCTGTGCTCAGCGTGGGTGCCTGGAAAGAGCTACCACAGCTGAAGAAAAGCATAGTGAAGTCAAAGGGTAAAAATCACTTATATCTCAAGAGTCCTACTATAGACTTGCACTCTTCTACTTCAACATGTTTTCATCACAGTCAGAGAGATGTATTTCTACAAACAAAACACTGCAATCTTTACAAAGCCTTCCTAAAAAAGAATTCACAGAGTGAACTCTCAAATCTTCTTATTTTTAAAAAGACCATTAGTATCTTCCAGTATTACTGGAAAATGGTCGATATGCCCTCACTTAAGGGAAGCATACAAAATATTTTTGACAAAAAATTGTTAGAACACTGACAGAACTGTACTTTTTAGAATAATTTTGCATTAAAAAATAATGAAAAATCTGTTCACTTGTAATAGACTGACATACATCAAGCTAAAAAGGAAAAAAAAAAAATTGCTAAAAATGCAAGATCTCTTATCATTTTTTAAGCAATTTGACATTGAAAAGAAATACATGAAACTCTTTATTAGTAAAGTGACTGAGGAAATAATTAGATTGACTTTATTAAAAACCAGTAGCTGTGAGGAATCTGAGGAAGACAGATGCTCCTGTGACGAATTAACACAAGATAAACTGCTTACGCTAACACAACACAGTATCATTCGGCTTTCTTTTAATTCTCACTTTCAGACACTTCAGAGAGAAAAACACATAAGAAGACTGATAAACATAGGAAAGCAATGATTCAAACCTGCAGCTAAACCACAGAAAGACATCATTTATTAATACCTTAACAGGTAAAATTTTTCAGAATAGGCATGCCAAATTCTTTCTTAGAAATTAATAGGAGCTAACTTGGAAGTACTTATGTCCAAGAGAATCTTTAACATAACTCAAACTACTAAAAAATTGTTGAGTTGACTTTTTAGGTAGTTCAGTTTTGAAAAAGTTTTCTTGGTTCACAAGAGCTTTTTAAATAGAAATTTTCTATATACCTCCTTGCTTCCTGCACATTGTTCCTCTGACAACATACTGAATCACTGATAACATCATCTTTATGAAAAGATCAACTGTAAGGAGTCTAACCTGCATAATACAACTTGAAAATTATTATTCATATGATTATTGCATGTCTTAAACCAAGGTAACAGGAAAGAAAAAACACAGCTGTAATTTCTCCAGGAAAAAATATCACAGTAGAAATGGACTGAAGTGACAAGATAGACACCTGAAAAGGACAAGCAAGGATTGTGAACCATGGCATAAACCCACTGAATAAAATAAAGATGCCTAAAAATATAAGCCTGTTCAAAATCAGTAGAATACACTATAAAAGCTCCTTCTTCCCTCATCTCCACTACAGCAAAAACAAGTACAGAGATTATTTTTGAGGCTCTAGGACAACCTTCTGTTTGAAAAAGTGAAATATATGTTCTCAAAAAGCCACAATCACCAACTGAGATCACGAGTTCTATTTTTTTTTCTATTTTTCACTTGCGTAAATCAAACAAATGAGTGTTAGGATACTGCAAGAAGTGAAAAGTGGTATTTTATAGAAATGATGGATCACAGACACTGCAATCCTTTGAGGGAAAGCTTTGTTCCTGCCTTGATCTATAATTCAATTTTCTTCTTCAGGAATGACAGCTCTGCTAGACAACCTCAGCTGTTGAAGATGGCTGGGAATTCCACATGAGGCATTTGGGGTGTCCAAATGGTATTGGTATTGCTGTTGATGAGCTATAATCACAAAGTTATGTTCTTGAAAATTTAATTTTAAAAGTTATTAATCAGTAAAACTATATGCAAATTAAACAATCTCAACAGACCTGTGGAAAAATTACAATTAAAGCTAACAAAACAATACGGAAGAGTAAGCTAGAGAACAAAGTCTTCTAAACAACCACTGAAGCTGGCTAAGTTTACAACAGGGCATTAAAGTGTGTATCTTGCAGTCCTCGTCTTTTATGGTATCTCCACAGACACGGTGAACACAAATGTTCCTCCACTGCTGATGGCCCTTCAGACCCTTTCATCAGCATGGGACACTGCACACCAAAGCGATTTCCTAAACCTGCTGCTTTCCTAGAGAATGAAGAGGCAAAATTTTCAAAAAGCTCTTCTTGCTATTCTCTTAATGAAGAATCAGCACTAGCATTAAGGAAACAAGCAAGGGTGAATGTGACAAAAGATCAGATCCAAAGCATGCATGTCTGCCAATTAACTTTTTATAGAATTTTACCTATGCTACTTTTATACTGTAATCACAACAGAAACAACTACTCTAACAAAAACACCTGAAGTGGTTCACTTACAAAAAAAGGAGACACATTTTTGCCTCCAACAAGTAGCTTCGATGTTTCTCCACCCGACTCTTCCTTTGAGATGTATTTTAAAACATGGCAATCTTGCACCTTAAGAACAGAAAAATAGTGTTTGAGTATAAGCAGATGTGTACGCGTTGAGACCATAGTAAGAGATTATCAAAACAAGCGAAACAAAGTCATTCTCAGCAAGTCACCTCAGCAATCACCCTCAGCAAGTTTGCCGACGACACCAA